CAATAGCTGAGACCACAGGTATAATTTTTGGGAATGGTTGAAGGAGAAAAATCTCAGCCTTGGCTTTTCAATGTCCCTCTTAATAAAATGTACATAGGAATACAAGGAAACACAGAACCAGCTAATTCCATGCTGGCAAAGATGAATCTGCTTTACAGAATTGTCCTTAAAAAACTGAACATCTCAAAACCAACCACGTGAAGTAACTGGTGCAAGATACCCCTGAACCCAAAACTCTAGCTGGATCAGTTCAAAATGTTTAAATAAAGACCTTTACATCAGATTTAGGGAACAAAATACAAGATAAATTGTTCTACACCCTACTTTTTCCTGACCAAGGCTTCAGGTCATTAGGCAATTTCTGAACTGTTTTAAATAAGACAAAATATTCTCTGGAGGTAGATTATTTTCTGGTTTTGCACTAACAGATTTTTTGCATTGTAATGTATCTGGACATACTGACCTCAATTCCCTTGGGAAAGCTTCGGCCAGAATACAGAAGTTAAAGCTGCTGATCTGATGCCTCTTCACTTGCAGAGTTTTTTCAAAAGGAGAGAAAGAAACTATGACTTCTTTGAAGGGAAAAAGTCTGAAGAAAAAGCAGAAAATATGCCTATCCTTTCTTTAACTTAGGATACTTTATCTTCAGTATCATTTTAACTCTCTGCCCAGAAACTCCAACATAAGCCTCTTGATTGCACAAGGCACAGAAGAATCAACTGTTTGCAGAAGGCTGTAGAAGCAGGAGAAATGTTTCCTACTCCACTTTTGGGTCATAGTCTAACTGAATAAACTCCGACCCTTAAAATTTTATTAAGTTTAAAAAAGGATTTATATGTTTGGAAAAATGGTGCTTGGAAACAAAATTTAAGAAAAAGAGAGAGAGAAAGAAATGACAAATGTACTATAGCCACAGGAAAGCAGAAGTGTTTCCCCCTTTCACTGTTCTTACTTAAAATTAAAACAAACAAACAAACAAAAACCTGAAACTGAGAAGCATTTGTTTAGTCCTCCACTGTCACCAGTTCTGATGGACCCGGGACAGGAAAATGGCAGGGATTTGGGGGCTTGCTCACACCCCTCAGTTTCAAGCACCTCACCCTGGCTAAGACAGGCTTCTCAACCCCAAGGTGGGCAACATCTCTCTGGGATGGTCCTGTCCCTGTCCCCGGGTGCCAAAGGAGCTGTCCTCTGACCTGGTGCCCAAGCTCCTGCTTCAGTCTAGGAAATAACTTTCCCTGCAATTTTCCTCCCAGCACTGTCCCTTCTGTGCACCCCCTTGGTGCAGACTCAGCCCCGGGTATTCTGCCCTCTCCTCCCAAATGCTACTAGAGTTGACAAGACTGGTTCTGAGAAGCTGTAGATTTCCCAAACTCCCTTGGGGAGGCTGAAGAGGTTCAAGAAACCCATCTGTAATACCTCAAGTCATTAGAATTAGTATTTCCACTTCTGGTCCTTCTTTCTGCTCCAGCATGAGCTTTGCTCTAAAGGCATCTCAGCATCTTGTAGATGGCTACTGAAGATACTCCATCTCTCAAGACTCACACTAGAGGAGTTTAGGAAGTTACTGCACCTAGAAATATACTCACGGCCCCACAGCTATGTTAGACTTTCTCAGCTACTTCCCACTTCATTGCAGTGATCTAAACCAATGGCTCTGAACCAGGGCAGCTGATGGACAGGTCCACCTTTATTCTGCAGCTCTCTTAACCTTCAAGGGACAAGCAGGCACTAGTAACCTTATAAACAACGCCAAAAATGCATCTTCCAGCTTTCTGTAGGTCTCCATGCCCCTCTGGGACAGAACTGAATTCCTAGCCTCCACCATTCACATAAATGTCAAGTCTTATGACTCCTTCATGATCTTTTTTTCCTTTCTATGTGATATTTCAAAGTCGTGTTAATGGTACGAGCTGCAAGGGCCTACCTCTGACGTGCTAGGATAACCGTTGGGTATCATGGACACACCTTCTAAAAAACAGTAACACTTGTATCTCCCAAGATTGGCATGTGTACTTGCCCTAAAGTTTAAATTATGATACATCTCACTTGGGATATTTATAGTTTTTCTGCATTTGTGCATTTCTGCCTATGACTCGCTGCTACCTCATGAGACCTGCAATACACTCTCAGCCCATGATAAATCATAGAATGGTTTGTGTTGGAAGGGATCTTTAAAGGTCATCTAGTGCAACTCCCCTGCAGTGAGCAGGGACATCTTCAACCAGATCAGGTTGCTCAGAGCCCTGTCCAGCCTGACCTTGAATGTTTGCAGGGATGGGGCTTCTGCCACCTCTCTGGGCAACCTGGGCCAGGGTTTCATCAACCCCATTGTAAAAAATTCCTTCCTTACATCTAGTCTAAATCTCCCCTTTTTTAGTTTTAAACCATTACCCCCTGTCCTATCAAATCCCTGTGCCTACATTTAATGTCTGAAGAGAAAGATTCCATGGGGATGCTTCATATATAACATTTAAGCCACGCTTCAATATTGATAATCAAATGGCAAAGACTCTATAGCAGAGAGAGTGTATCATCCTTGTAAAAAGTACATAGAATAATCTTTAGAATTACCACAACCAGCAAAAGTTGACCTGAATAGGGAACTTATTTTAGGTTTTAATTTTCTATTTTGTTCTGCTTGCAATTAAAAATAAATGGTATAAAGCTGGTCTATAAAAACACTACCACACAAAAAACCTCTTTACACAAATTAAAAACAACAACACATGAGAGGAAAATACTCCACAGCATTTAGAGTTCTGCAGGGACTAGTATACATATGAGGATTTTAATTTTCCATGGGCTGTAAGTGTTATAATCTCTATCAACTGCATGCACTCTGGGACCATGACTAACACCAGTACTTGAACTCTGATTGGTTGTTGGCTTCTTTCTTCTTTCTTTAACACTGTTTTTAAACTCACATTTGATCCAAGAATTTGAAGGGATAAAGACATTTTTACAGCAATCTGTTCCTCTCAAGTCTAACCCACAGGTCTGTTACAGGACATTGTGTCAACAAATTACAGATGTCTGCAAGTCAATGCAACCAGTGTGAACAGTCACAACTTGTCTCAGGAACAAAGGCTCTATTGCTGGAGAAATTACACTGACAGAGATTAAAAGATGACACAGGACATTCAGATGCCAGGACTGCCTTCATGATATTACTACTAGTGGTCCTTTCTTTGCATCCATGGCAAATATAACACCACATGTTACAAGAGTTATTTCTCCAAAATCTTTATGTGGTTATCTCATGTGCTGTGCCTGCACATTACAGGAATAGTTTCAACCACTGACTTCTCCAGGATCGTCTGAAGTCATGAGCTCTCTGCCTTTTCCAACTCACACATCTCATCTTTAGAGATATATTCCTACCTGAGTAGATTTCTCCTGTTACTTTTCAGTGAAAGGCTGTCCAGAAAGAACAGCTCTGGCAGCTTTGGTGCTACAGAGACTTCTCTCCTAGGACTGCCATGTTAACCACCCGTTATGTCCTGCTCAGTCATGCTAAAACAATGCTTCACTCTCTAGGATTGGAGTAACTGTGACAGCGAAGGGATTTTATCCCATTTATTACCATCAACCACTCTTTCTATTATTTGAACAAAAAATAAACAGACAGGCAAAAAGAGGAGACATGATCATTTGTCCAGAATTTAAGGACCTCTCACTGTCCAAGCTGCTGTCTTTCTGCTCCTGTAGAGAAGCAGGCTAGTTCTGTGACAGGTGGTATGGAAGAGCAGCTCCAGCTGCTGCTGGGTGTCTTTTACATTTCTAGCTGGAACTTCTCAGAGGGGCATACAAGACCTTTGGGAAAACACCCATGTCACGGACTGTGGCTGGGAGACATTGCTATCTTACAGACATGCTGAGGCCATCCTCGCTTTCCCATCTGTTCTTAGAAACCAGTGACCCATGGAGCCCTGTACAACTCAAGATAACGATGGCAAGAGAAGATGTCTCAGAGACCTCCACCTCAATCAGTAGACTGGGCTTGCCTTGTCTCAGTTCTCTCTTGAGGTCACATTAGTTATCCTTGATTTGCATTTGCTAATGGTAAACCCCTTTAGCAACTCTAATAGACTTAATGGCAAAACAGATACAACACTGTGGCTGCCAAAGTTTATAGAGGTAAGTAAGTGACTTACTCCTCCAAGTAAGTCACTGGACTTCAGACATGAACCTGGGAACATTTATCAAAAAAAGGAGAGGTAGGAGATGACAACCAACAACCAAGTTTCCACAGAATTAACAGGAAAGGAGAAAGGGGAACCTACATATTAAATAAGAATCTCAGAGTTTGCCATGAACTATCAAACCGGTCTGGAAAGCAGATTTCTGCTCCATTGAGAGTTTCTAATAGCACTGGATAAGCAAGATAAACAAAGACTGAAGGGCTGCCTGAGACACATACAAAATTATTGAATTATGACATGTTTGAGAAGTTATTTACTTTACAGAGTATTTACATAAGGTTCACTTCCTCTTCATATATAAGCTCAAATATTACAAAGATTTTTTTTCCCCTTAATGAGGGGACTACATTAAACAACCCCACAAACATCCATAATTAACTTTTTTCCAGGGACATTCCTAAGAAAGTTTTCCAGGCAGTTCCTTCCCCAGAGCCCAAGTAATACCAAGGAAACCCCACTCTCTCACTAGGCAAAGGAGGCACGTGCAGAAAGAAAACACAGGGCATCAAAAGGAGGAGGGGAAAGAAGAGATGCAGTAGTGATGAAGTGATGACCCTGGGACCAGAGCTTTACTTATTGCTGTGCTATAGCCACCTGATAGGCCTCATGGTGGGCTTTTAATCTCTCTGTACCTCAATTCACCTCTTTCCTAATGAATGCAGATCATTATATCTAGTGTAGAAATTTTAGATCATGGTTTTGGTAGGAGACACTTCCTGGCTCTGTAAGGGACATTGCTATTAAAACAGCTCATTTTTCTCAATTAGCTGGCCCATCCACAGTGCTTTTGCTTACCTGAGAAGTGTCATGGTTGAATATGACAGCATTCAGGTCTCCACAGTTATAATGCTTGATGAGATCTTCAGTGGTATATGGGGCTTGCAAACTACCTGCTCGGAGGCTTTCGTGTTGGAGCAGAGTTTGGTTTAGAGCAAACAGCACCTGTGAAATGCAAACAGGAAAAACAGGGAAGAGTTAAAGACATTAGGAATCAAAGCAGCCAAACTTTGAAAAACTCTCTTGCATCTGAAGTCTATTGACCCATCCTGGCCCACAGTAACAAGGACTCATCCTTAGGCATTCCCAACTGGAAGGGGAGTCAGATGCAAGATCCCTTAAGAGCAGAAGACCTTATTATAAAACCCTTGATATTCCACATAAAGTACAACTTCATAACACATATATATTACTCAGAGGTCATGGTCTGAGAACTTTTAGGCTATCTGTGCTGACTACTTGGCTACATGAGAGACACTGGAGTGAAAGAGCCCCTAAATTAGGAAATTTCTATTGCCTCTGACTGTTTCTTGTCTGCTAGCTTAAATCCAAAGCCCAAACACAGTTGGAAGGTTTTTGACAAAAATCAAAATCTTCTGAACTTCTGAAGTCACAGTTGTTGCACTGGGACTTCCTGCATGCTTCTAGTAGCAGAAACTTTAGGAAATTCATTATTAGGCTCCCTCCTTTAGTCCTTCCCCCTTCACCCACCCTTTTATAAAGTGAACAGAGATACTGAATTGCAACACTGTCCCAGAAGACTAGATGAGCGTCCCCATCTCAAACCTGAAAATACCAAGAAAGCAGAAGCACTCTTTAGTATGCAGCTTTAGGTAACCAAAAAAATAAATGTCCTTAAAGACAGTATTCTTCTCCTTGCATTAGCAAAAAGGCTACTAAATTTCACATGAATTACCACAAATCTTTTTATATTTGTGATAGACTGTGGGAGTAATTTATACCAGTTACTCAACCACCAAGTCTGGGCTTTTCATGTTCAGCTTTCCAAGAACTTTCCAAAGAAACTTGACAAATATCAAATAGATGAATAAATCAGAAGAACATCAGTTAAGACAGTTTGTCACAAATTATATAAATAAGCAAACACACTTTTTCTAAAATAAAATGATATGTAGTGACTGCAAATTCAGAGTTCTGAAAAGATATACTGATGTGCCATTTTTCGTTAAAAGACTCCTGCATCCCTCAGCCTCATGTTTCACCACATTTTCAGCTTCTCTCATTTATAACAGCAGTGCCTCTTCCATCCCAAAGAATAACCATTATCTCAAGATCTGGGTAAAGTAACCCATGCTGAGCTCTAGCTGGCCCAGCT